TGCCGGCCTTCTTTGCTGCTTTACCACTGGTTTTAGGAGGCATTTTCACTTATTATTTTTTTTTTGAGTCACACAAACACTTTTAACACTGTTCACAAATGATGAACCAAAACGGCCAGCTATACAGAATTTGTAGATTGTAGACGACAAGAATTTCAGGTAGTCACAGCTAGCTGGCACACACAAGCAAACCACCCCATTATTGAAGAAATGTGTGTGTGAGAAAAGTATAAATAGCACGTTTCGAGGTGAAAATTTTTTTCATTTGTGTTTTTCAGTGCTTAAGTGAAGTGTTCAAAACTAAAATAAAGTGAAAATGTCTGGTCGTAGTAAAGGTGGCAAAGTTAAGAGAAAGGCAAAGTCCCGTTCCAATCGTGCTGGTCTTCAATTCCCCGTCGGTCGTATCCATCGTCTGTTGCGCAAAGGCAACTATGCTGAGCGTGTTGGTGCCGGTGTTCCCGTCTATTTAGCCGCTGTCATGGAATATTTGGCTGCTGAAGTCTTGGAATTGGCTGGCAATGCTGCCCGTGACAACAATAAGACTCGTATCATTCCCCGTCACTTGCAATTGGCCATCCGTAACGACGAAGAATTGAACAAATTGCTGTCTGGCGTTACCATTGCCCAAGGTGGTGTATTGCCAAACATCCAAGCTGTTCTCTTGCCAAAGAAGACCGAAAAGAAAGCCTAAATTATTTCGAAAGGTATTATGGAATGAAGAAGAAGAATACAGACCATCGTATAATTCCATAGAAAAATCAACCAATCCGTCCTTTTCAGGACGGCAAAAAATATTTGAAAAGAGAAAGAAAATTGCGTCAAACTACATTATTTGCATTAATATTAAAAAAATAAAAATTCTCAATAATTTTCTATGAGACGTTGGCAGAATAAATGTTTTTCGTTGTCAGTTGCATATATGTGTTGGCGTTATTGTTGTCTCTTATGATTTCAGGAATAGAGCACGAGAGAGAGATCGTAGCGTCACCAAATGAGTATGTATACTATGAGGAGGAAGAAGAAGAAGCATGTTGCATTGATGGTGGCCCGCAGTAATTTTATGTGAAAAAATCGTACCCCGGCGCATTCTTGGTGAAGGCACAAAGTAGACGATTTGCAAGGGAATTTTGGCGGCAAAGTAGTGTTTTGGTGAAAATGAAAATAAAAGTACGTTGTGGTGCTATGGAAAATTTTAAACACAAAAAATAGAATAAAAGTAACATAATGAAATGAAAATTAACGAAAATAATAACAAAGAAAAATAAAATAACGTAAATTAACAACTAAATTAAAATAAAATAAGAACATTTTTAAAAATTAAGGCAAATATTAATGAAAAGTTAAAGAAATTTAAATGAAAATATTTGGAAATAAATTAAAGAAATTTCGAATAATAAATAGATTTTATGAAAATAAAAGATACTTTAAATGAAATCACAAATTTTTAAATTAATAGTAAGGAAATATATAAAATAATTTTAAATTAATAATAAGGAAATAAATAAAATAATTTTAAATAAAACGAAGTAGTGATTTTTAAAAAATAATATAATGAAAAATTAAATAGAAATTAGTTGAAAATTAAATAAAAAAATTTAACATAAATAAAATAAAATTCATTTAATGAAGAATTTTTAAAGAAAATTCAATAATTTTAATTTTTGATACAATTTTAAAGGAAATGATTAGTGAATAATTTACAAATTTTTAAAGAAATTTTTTAAGATAATATGAATCAGCGATCTATTTAATAAAAATATTCAACAATTTCAAATTAAATTTTGAGAAAAGATTTAACAATATTTAAAAAAGTGAAAATGAAATTCCTTTGCTAACACAGCATGGTTGTTCTTTAATAATATCGACTAAACAGCATCAATACATACATAAAGCGACGCTATATTATACTCATATTATACGAAAAGGAAGAAGAAGAACTAAATGTGTTTAGCGATGTGAGTTGCCGACGGCATGTTTATGATCGGGAATAAAATATGAGACCTCGGTAAAACAATGTTTTCGGTGAAAATATTCAGGAAAAATTGAAACGAGTAAGTATTTATATTTTTTCTTTTAGTGTTTATTTTTTATTTATTTTAATTAAAAACATAGTTTTCAACAAGAAATTATCTCTTTTTTGATATATTTTGTGGTCCTGAAAAGGACCGTTTGTTTTGTTGTAAAAAAGATTTCTCCAAATTGCGTCAAGAATTTGTTTAACCGCCGAAGCTGGCTTGGTAATAGCTGGCTTGGTAATACCTATCACGGAGCACTTTCCTGTGACGTTTAGCGCCACCTTTTCCCAAGCCTTTACCACCTTTACCACGACTAGTCATTTTTTCACTTTAGTTTATTTCACTCATCACTTCACGAACAGTTTGAGCACTAATGTTTTTTTCCGGGCGATTCCGCTCGTATTTATACAAAATTTGAGGCTCTCTCCAACCATTTAACGCACAAGTAAAGTATGTACAGTTATATGTGTGTGTACATTTGCCGTTAGTATCGTATGTTCTCTTTTGTGTGTGCGTGTACATTTGGTATACCGATAGGTAAGAATTCACTAACATATCAACCCCAAAGGTGTTGCTAACAGCGCAATTTTCTATAAATACTCGTTTTCGTGGCGATGGCAACGTTATTACAGTGTTAACAGTGTTTATGTGCATATCTCTAGTGAAGTGAAAAAAATTCAAGTGAAAAATGGCTCGTACTTAGCAAACTGCCCGTAAATCGACCGGTGGAAAGGCTCCCCGTAAACAACTAGCCACCAAAGCTGCCCGTAAGAGAGCCCCAGCCACCGGCGGTGTTAAGAAGCCTCATCGTTTCCGTCCTGGTACAGTTGCTTTGCGTGAAATCCGTCGTTACCAGAAGAGTATTGAATTGTTGATCCGCAAATTGCCCTTCCAACGTTTGGATCGTGAAATTGCTCAAGATTCCAAAACTGACTTGCGTTTCCAGAGCTCTGCTCTTATGGCTTTGCAAGAAGCCAGTGAAGCCTACTTGGTTGGTCTTTACGAAGATACTAACTTGTGCGCCATCCATGCTAAGCGTGTCACCATCATGCCTAAGGATATCCAATTGGCCAGACGTATTCGTGGAGAACGTGCTTAAATTCTTGACGTTTTAAATGCAACAATTTTACAACAAAACAATCGGTCCTTTTCAGGACCACAAATATTTTACAAAAAAGAGATATTTTTTCACTCAATCTACAAATTTTAGTATTTTTTTTAAATAAATAAAAAAATTTAGGGCATTGATTATTTTTGAAAATTTTTAAAATAAAGAAGTATTTTTTTGATGTTGATTTTTTTCCTTGATTATTTTTCGTCACTTTATTTTTTTTATTTTGTTTTGATCGAATATTTTATTTTTTTAATTTTATTTGAATTTTTTCAATTATCCATTTTGATAGTTTCCTTTAATTTGCAAAATTATTATCATTTTTGTACTCCCTCTTCGAAAAAAATGCTATGACTCATAATAACAACCACCACATACATTTTGCTAACGGGATTTTTTTTGTCCATTTTGTTTTTTTCCTTTTCCCGTTAAACAAAAAATTGCTCTCTTCATGATTTTTGGCGCGAAATTTGTCTATTTCTCTCATTTTATTCCCCTTCGATCATTTTTTTTTGTTGTGGACTATTCAATTTAATGGGAAAAAATTCTCTGCCTTTAATTTCTACGAATTATTTCATGTGAATTTTAAAAATTTCCAGCTAAAATTTTGCCCCTCCTATTTAATTTTTTTCAGGAATGATGTATGAAATATGTTTATTCCTTTTCAGCAAAATTTTTAAATGTTTTATACGCATTTTAAGACATTTGAATATGAATTTTCTCCATATGGAATTACAAAATTATTTTTGCCCGATGTATTTAGAGAAATTGGTAATAATTTATTATTTTTTAAAAATTTAAGAAGAAAATGATTTGTTGAGAATTTTGATGTAAAATATAATTAAAAGTATTATAAAAAGAAATGCCAATAATATCTACCTTTGAAGTTGATCGAAAAACAATTTTGTAAAACGCAATTAATTTCATGACATTTCCAAGTGTTCTAGGTGATATTTGCCTGTAAAGATGAATTTCTTTTTGGGAATATTTTTTCATAAAAGTAACAAAAATTTGACAAAATAACTTAGAAAATGGCTTCTAATACTATTTTTAATAAATTTTAGAACAAATTATGTTAAATTTCATAAAAAATATTGCAAAATGAAAATACATAACCGTTTGTCAGTGAATGCCTGTACATTGGTAGTATGAAGTATTCTGGGGATTTTGTAACTTTTCCCCGTAAATTATGACTTCTGGTGAATAATGTTATATTTTGATGTAAATATACAAATTCTGAAATGTTTTTTAAGAAATTTTTATAAAACTTATTAAGATTTGAGCTTTCAAATTTATTTCAAGAAAAACTTTTCTTCATTGAAATTATGCCAACAAGAGGATTTCTGCTGTCATAGACCTGTCATAATAATTTCAATTTTTTCACATAGTAAAATATGAAATTTCATCGATATTTTTCTTTGATCCTAAAGTAAACATATCAGGCTACATTTTCAAAAAGAATTTTCAATTAATTTTCATAAAAAATTCGATTTTTTTAAATTTTAGTTGGAAATTTGTGATTACATTTTTATAATCTGCCAAGTTAAACGTTTATAATTCACAAACGGCAAGTGATAATTACACCAAACTTTCTTTAAAACATAGCCTGAAATCTATACTTTAAAGGTATAAAACATTTTTAGTGAAAATTATCAAAGCTTCTTCAGGAAAATTTAATTTCTCCGAAAACTTTTGTAAAAAATTAAACACGCTTCCACACAATCTTTCGAAAAATTTACCAATTGACTACTATGCACATCTCATCTTTTCGATGTACCTACACTTTAGCTCGCCGCTAACAAAAATAATAGTACACATAAATTTGTGAGTGTATTTGTGTTAACAGTGAAATATAAAACAAACAGTGAATAACCATGTCTGACGCCGCCGTTGTTGAAGCCACCGCCTCCCCAGTTGCCGCTGGGCCAAATATTGGCCCCCTTCATCAAGAAGTACTTGAAAGGTGCCGTTGCCAGTGGAAAATTGATCCAAACTAATGGCAAGGGTGCTTCTGGTTCATTCAAATTGTCTGCTTCGGCCTCCAAGGAACCCAAAGCCAAGACTGCTGAAAAGAAGAAGAAGGCCCCAGCCGCTGGTGACAAAAAGAAGAAGGCTGCCGCCCCTAAAAAGGCCGCTGGTGAGAAGCTGCCAAAAAACCCTCTGACAAGAAGACCGCTGAAAAGAAGACGGCCGATAAAACAAAGGCTGCCAAGAAAACCGGTACAGTTAAAGCTAAACCAGCAAAGGCACCCAAGGCAATAACTGCAGCTGCTAAGCCCAAAAAGGCCGCAGCAGCAAAGAAGCCAGCTGCTAAGAAAGCCGCCGCCAAGAAGTAATTTTTCCCAGAAAGATTACTTTTTCCACAATATTTTCGATATTCGAAAACATACTATCTAACAGCCCTTTTCAGGGCTACAAATTAAATTAAAAAAGAGAAAAATATTTATTTTCAACAGTTATCGTATATATTTGTTACCTAAATAAATAAGTAAATTTGTACACGTGTTTAATTTTGGGAAAAAAATTACTTTCGCTAATTACTGTTCTTATTAGGTAATTTTATTGAGCCAATATAATGGTGGACGCCACTGGGTTATTTTTTAACCCAGGTCAAAAAAGATAATAAAATATTTAAAATCTTTCCTAATTACCCACAGGTCATAATTCTTGTAAATCCCCATAATTTGGCCATTTTTATAATTTCTACTTAATTTTGAAAAATTTGTAATTTTCATATTCTCTGTTAAATTTCACGAATTTCATCCAAAAATGACATTTTGGCAAAATATTTACATTTTCCATTAATATATTTTTTCCTTTCCAGCCTTATATTTCGTTGCTTTGCCGTTGTGCTGTAACAAAATGCTCACACATACATGATGCCCATTCGATGTTGATCAACGACGGCAAGGCAAAACATCACTAACACACGCACACCTATACGACGACGATGGCTGTTACAGCATATCGCACAAGCAAGCATAGAATCCAAGCAAACATGCAAAGGCACATATGCGAGTTAGCTAAATGCATGGAAAAATGATTGTATAGAGAAAAATATATTTCCTATGGAATTTTATTCGTTTATTACTAAATAATGATAAATTTTAGTTTCAACAAAAATATGATATCTTTTGAAATGCTTTTTGTGGCCCTGAAAAGGGCCTTTTAATGTAGTATTTCGACGCAAAATGAAAAATATCAAGACATTTACTTGGAGCTGGTGTATTTAGTAACAGCCTTGGTACCTTCACTGATGGCGTGCTTAGCCAATTCACCGGGCAATAATAGACGGACGGCGGTCTGGATTTCCCGACTGGTGATGGTCGAGCGCTTGTTGTAGTGGGCCAAACGAGAGGCTTCGGCGGCAATACGTTCGAAGATATCGTTGACGAAACTATTCATGATGCTCATGGCCTTGGAGGAGATACCGGTGTCGGGATGGACTTGCTTCAACACTTTGTAAATGTAGATAGCGTAACTCTCCTTACGCTTGGTACGTCTCTTCGACTTATCGCCCTTGGTAATGTTCTTTTGGGCTTTGCCGGCCTTCTTTGCTGCTTTACCACTGGTTTAGGAGGCATTTTCACTTCAATTTCAATTTGCCTATGGCAAATAACAAACTTACATACTAACAGAAATGGCTTACTGTACTAGAATCTTAAAACTATAGCTATTCGCTATTTACTACAATTACATACAATGTGGAGTACCACCAGCACCCAATCAAACAAAAAGAAATTTAATGCAAAATTAACATAAGTGCCCCAAAAAATCCAAAAGTTAAAAATGGGCGAATTCAACTAATTATATATCTTAAAACTAAAACTTAAATCTAGGGCTTAAAACTAGTTTCTACTAACTACTATTTACAATATATACAATATTTACAGTTACTGTGTACTGTTGTACACAGTACTTTCTACATCGAGGGTGTTGTAGCGCCGATGGTAGAAACGTAGCTCACCATCGATGTACAGCAACCCTTCATCCAACAACCTTCTTAACCAACCGGGGGTAGGTACCTAACATTGCGCAGTGCCTCTGCGTCCAGGCTGCTTTGCAGGGCATCCTCAAACAATCTGTTGTTAAGTCCGTCTGATCGGTCTAAGAATTCCAGTGCTCCTGACATCAGGACCCTGTCAATTCTCTCCCCTCCTGCCCTATCATATATGGCCCTATTAGAGGGTCGTCTGATAGTACCATCTTCTCTAAGTATTAGTCCCCTCATGCCTAAACATGAAGCCAGGACACTTCGTTCCCACTTCCTAAGCCTCTCCATCTGGCTGGACGAGATACCAAACCAGACAGGAAAAGCATAGGCAACAATAGGTCGCATTATTTGCCGATATAACAGCAACCTAACTTCGGGAGTTAATCCCCCACGCATCTTCATCAGCCCTTCATAGCTGAAGAAGACCTTTTTTGCTCTGGTCAGGATGAAATCTATGTGCCCTTTGAAGTCAAAATTCTTTTGAAAAATGACCCCAAGGTATTTTATCCTCTCCTTAATTTCCACGGTATTACGTCCAACTTTCACGACAGGACGTTGCCTTACGAAAGTTGGAGAAATATATCGTGATTTCCCGGTAAATACAATTCCCGAGCATTTGTCCCCATTTAGCTTGAGGCCCCATACGGTAAAGAACCTATATAAGACCGCAAGATAAATGTTCAGACGTGTTTCCGCTGTACGAGCATTCGTGGCTTTATATGCCACAAACACATCGTCGGCATACGATAATACCAACCCTCCTCGTGGAGGTGTCGGCATGTCACTGACATAGATGTTATATAACATCGGCCCTAGGAGGGAACCCTGGGGCACACCTGTCAGTACAGGTCTGCGACTGGATAGTCGCTCGCCTACTCTAACCTATCGGATAAGAAACTGCCTACCAATCGCAAGGTTTGGTGATCAAATCCAAACCGTTGCATTTTAAACAATAATCCTTGATGTCATACGGTATCAAAGGCCTTCGAAAAATCAAGTCCAATTGCAATAGTGCCTTGAGTATTGTTTAGACCTGAAGCCACATAGGATGAGAGAGCAGTTAGGGCATGGACAGTGGATAGGCCTGCCCTAAACCCGAACTGGTTGTCCTTCAACACCCTTTTATCCTCTACGAGTTTATTTAATCTTTCCAAAATGAAAGACTCGAAGAGTTTACCAAAGGCCGATAAAAGTGATATCGGCCTATAGCTGCTACATTGTCCAGGGGGAGAGTCCCTCTTATATATGGGAACCAACATAGCTTCTTTCCATGCCCTAGGAAAGTAACCCAGGTTCAGACAGTGATTAAATAACACTGCCAGGAAAGCGAAAATAACCTCGCCCGCCTTTTTTAAGGCGGTATCGGGTATACCGTCCAAGCCGCAGGATTTACGTGCTGGCCTACGGGCGATTGCCCTGCCCACACAACCTGCGCGAAGAAAACCGCCATCGTTCCAACGAGTGGCATTTTCACTTATAATTATTTTTTTTTTTTTTTTTTGAATCACACAAACACTTTTAACACTGTTCACAAAAGATAACCGAAACGCTTTTTACTTTTGCCACTTTTAAATTTGCCATTTATTTGTTTTAAATTGTCAGATTATACATTATATACTTAATGGCTACAGTATAAGATAGATTAGTAAATAAACATTCTCCTTTGCCATAGGGCTTACAATGTAGGAGACTACGATATTAAGATTATGTTAGTGCCGCATTTTTATGCTAAGCAATCATTAAATTATTTTAGTGTTTTAACAACATTCGTTGGTATAGATATGCCTTAAAAGTTTAAAAAAAGGCTAATACAAAAAAAAAAATAAAATATAAACTTAAATCTACCTTAAAACTATATAAACTTAAACTAATCTATTTACAATTATATTATTACTGAGCTGTGTTGTAGACAGGCTCAGAGTCAGCGTCAAATCTGTTATACCTACGATGGTAGTACATTAGGCGTTCATCATCGTAGAGCAATCCTTCGTCGCGTAATGTTAGTAGAGCTGCGGGTGGCAGATGCTTCCTTCTTTGAATATTGGGGATTTCCTCTTGGTAGTCCAGGAATTGTTCCACTATCCCATTTTCCACGTTTTGGCTTCTCTCCAGAAAGTTTAGTGCATTCTTCATCATGAAGATGTCTATCCGGCTAAATTCGATGGCGTTATAGATATTCCTGTTGAGTGGTCGTCTGAATATTCCATTCTCGTCAATTGTTGGCCTCATTCCTAAGCACGTTGCCAAGATCCTCCTTTCCCATTTCCTTAATCTTTCCATTTGGGCCGAAGATATGTCAGCCCAAGCGGCAAAGGAATAGGTTATTATGGGCCGGATAACTTGCTTGTAGATAAGCAGTTTTACGTCCGGCGACAGTCCTCCTCGCATCCTGAATAGCCTCTGGTAGGCGAAATTCATCTTTTTGGCCTTTGACAGCACATAGTCCACGTGGCGGCAGAAGTCAAATCTGTCGTGTAGGATGATTCCCAGGTATTTCATCCTATCGGAAGTTTCAATTAGTTGGTCACCAACCTTGATCGTAGGGATGTATCTTCGGAAGCTCTTTGCCGTAGACTGTGGTTTCCCTTTGTAAACCACAGATACGCATTTTCCAACGTTGAGGTTGAGTCCCCATTTGTTGAAGTAGTTGTGGAGCGTATTCATGTACGCATTCAATCTTCTTCCCACAGTGCTTCCGAAGCGACCTCGTAGCGCCAATAAAATGTCATCGGCGTACATGAGCAGTAATCCTCCTTCAGGTGGTCCAGGGATGTCGCTGACAAACAAGTTGTACAATACTGGTCCCAGCAGTGATCCTTGTGGAACCCCTGCTTTTACCAGTCGTTGTTCAGACAGTTTGTCATCAACTCTGACCCGAAAGACTCGATCCTGGAGAAAGCTTGCTACCATGCGACAGGTTTGTCCATCGAATCCAAACGATTGCATTTTGTATAAAATGCCATGTTGCCATACCGTATCAAAGGCTTTGGTGAAGTCCAGACCAATTGCAATTGTTCCCATTTTGGTCTTGAAACCGTCCGTGACGTATGTTGTAAAGGCTGCTAGGGCATGGGTTGTGGAGTGCTTTGCTCTATATCCGAATTGGCAGTCCTTTAGTATCCTCTTCTCCTCGATGATCCTGGTGATTCGGCGCAGAAGGAAGTATTCAAGAAGCTTCCCAAAGGGCGATAGCAGGGATATCGGTCTATAGCTCCCCCTTAGGGTTGCATCTGTTCCGGGCTTAGGAATTGGTACCACTAAAGCCTCTTTCCAGGCTATTGGGAAATAGCCAATGTTGAGGCAGTGGTTAAACAATATGGTGAGAAAAAGAATGATGGCTTC